GGGAGGCACACCAAACAATATAATCTTAGAATCTTAGTCACACAGAAAGGAATGGAGAGCCTTTGTCTTGGGAACACCCCCTTCCCATGCGGAACTAAGAGCAAGCTGAGACCCCACTGTGTGCTGGACCTGTGCCCCTGGGCTCCTCCAGGCTGAACCCTGCCCAACCAGGGCGCCTTGGGAGGGGGAGCCACGCTTGGAATGTGATTCCTCGGCTTTGCAGGGCGCTCCCAATGCAGCTCCCAAGATCCCTGTCACCTCCTAAAGCCTCTGCCAGCCTCCCTCCCCCCACCCCCCAGTACCACGTTGATCACCAGATTAAGGGGCTCAGAGCTACAGCTGAGGCGGCTAAAACCCCCGAGGGAGATCTGCTGTGGACACCTCTCTTACCCTGTCCCTGCTGTGAAGCTCTAACCTCTGTACTCTTGTTCACTGAGCTTCACGATTCACCTGTAGATACTCAGTCTGGGTGAAGGGTAGCTGGGGAAACAGAGGAGGGGGTATAAAAGAGGCCCCTAGAACTGGGAGAGAGGTGGACAGGGGCAGCCCAGATGGAAGGAGTGCTCAGGGGCCACATGAAGGGAGGAAGGTGGGTGCTGAAGGGAAGGCCCAGGACTCCCTCTACAGGTGAACTCCAGAGGCTCCCTTGGGTTCTCGGTCAGCTGCCAGGCCCTAAGCCCTGGAGGAGAGGGCAGGAGCAAGCCCTAGAGCTGGGGGAGGTACGGCAAGGGTACAGCAGGAGAAACCTGGGCATTCAAGGCTTTTCCTCCAGAAAGACTCCAGCACTCCTAACCAAAGTCTTCCCAAACCAGCTAAAAAGCACACACAGAGGCCATGAAGCTCCCTTCCAGCTCTGTGAGGTCCCCAGGACTCTGAGAAAAGAGGTGGGTCTCTTAACCTAGAAGCTATGAGGAAAAGATAAGGCCAGGGAGGGACCTGGGAGCCAGACCCCTGGTCACTGAACCCTAAGGTCCCTGTACCAGAACAAAAGGGTGATGCTCCCGACCCCCTGCCCAGGTGGTTGCTGAGGGGCAGCACCCTACCCTACAGCTACCCAGGTCTTGGCAAGTGTCCAGTAGCCCTATCCCCAAGCCCAGGGCCTGCAGAGGGCCAGCAGGGCACACCCAGGGCCCTGGCTCACAGCTGCTTCCTCATAAGCTGCCTTCTAGCTGGGTCACCCCTGCAGGCTGGGGTGCAGTGGTCCACAGGCACAGGGGCTGGGGTTGGTTTGTGATCTGCATTCTCTCTGTCTGTACCTGAGTCTGTAACCACCCAAGTCCTTCCTACCTCTAACTGCTCCTCTCTCCTCTTCCAACCAGAATTCACTGCCCACTTCCTGTCAGTTCAAAGCCGCTCTACAGAACAAATATGAGGTGGTCTGCTTCCATAAAGATTTGCAGTCTTGGAAACCCTATGTACACTTGCAATGAGTCACAACTGACTCCATGGCAGAGTTTGGTTTTCCTTGTTTCCTGTCATTACGCTAATCAGTGAGTGCTAAATCAATGCACATCTTGAAACAACTATGGCCATCCATCACCAGCAGAAGTCAGACTCACACTTTCAGGCTAGAAGGGAGACCAGAAGTGTGTCATTTACTAGTGAGTACACTGAAGGTCAGGGCAGTGAGGAGCTGGCTTGCCCAAGCTCACCCAGCAAGCTAGCAGTCAGGGGGTGCCTTGAGCTGTCCACCAGACTCCTTCCCTGTTAAGGGTCAGGCTTTTGCAAGGCTGTGAGAGGGGACATCTCCATCACATCCCCAACAAGATTGTGGCCCAAGTGTGGGCAGCAGGGATCTGGGGCCAGGGGAGGCCGTAATGCGATAAGCAGACTGGCCATCTGGCTTGGGGACGAAGGAGAGCCCAGACTGGTCGCTTCTGCTGCCCAGTCCCAAGAGACCCTGTGTCGCGAGAGACAGATTGCTAGATGGACAGGCAGTGGCCTGGGTCTGGGTGGAAGCCAGTGAGTTCCCTGTAGTCAGGGACTAACCAACTTCTAGATATGGAGGGGGCCAAGGGAGCAAAGCCAGGCACCCCCAAGGGCAGAGCCAGCAGTATGATGGGGGATTGGAGAATCTCCACAGGCTGGGCGTCCATTGGCGGCTGCAAACAGGGCCCCTCCAGGGGAAAAGCAAACACATCGCTGCTGGTACCTTCTCAGACATGCATGCAAAACTAATTAACATGGGGCAATGTGCCAGCAGCCGGCCAGCTCCACACCCTCGAGTCCACGCAAACAAGGCGAGCCCTTGTCCAGGGGATATGCACAAAGCTTTGTTGCTAATTTAGGCATCTGTCTCTGTCTGGTCTGGTCCTCCTGCCTGTGCTGGGGTTTTTCCCAGCCCCTTGGACAATGCTGGGAACAGGCCCGCCCGATCCCTTATTCAAATCACACCAGGGACAATGAGCTCATTGTGCAGGTCACAGAAAAGGGATGCTGGTGGGGGGGGGTGTGTGTGTAACGGGGGCATCGGGAAGTGGAGACGAGTGGAAGGGGTGTAGAAAATGGGACCCCAGGAAAGTGTTTACTAACAGAACCACTGCAGCTGCCTTGGGCCCTTCCCTCCCACTCCTGGCTGGGAGCTAGAGGGGAGGGGTTGTCCAGGGCTTGGAGCTGGGGGTTCCCAGAGTGAAGAAGGGCCTTAGGTCCAGCAGATACACACTGTAGCTCAATGTTCATCTTATTGCCCTCTCCCATCTTAATACTCCTTAGCTAGCTGTGCACGTCCAGACCTGGGCAGATTTTTTATTATAGGTTGGTTTGGGGGTTCTGTGTTTTCTTACTCAGACTTAGTAGTGTAATGTGCAGACCTCGACTGCAGAGGAGACAGGGCTGGGGGGAGAGGTGCTGGCGGCTGTGTGGGGTGGGACCTGCTGTCTCGGCCATTGTCTTCAGGCACAGTTTCATTTTCTCCTCCTTCCCAGCTAATAAATTAGAAAAGAGACGGTGAGCTGCAAAGGGACACGCTCCCCATGGGCGGCGGACAGGCGGGCGGGTGGGCGAGTCTGTGAGCTCTTGGCAGATGGGGCTCACCCGGCCGGGCGGCTGCTGACACCACACCTGGCCAGACCCTCGCACATAACCCTACACAATGAACAACATAAAAAAATATAAATATATAGATAAATCTCCTGAGGTCCCCGAGGGGGAGAGTTAGGCTCTGAAACGTCCCCCCGCCCCCCAACTCCTTGTCTCACAGAGCACGCTGAGACAGGCAACATAAACAGACACACACAGCCTGACACTGACACGCAGACACAAAAAGAAAGACACACACTCCCCACAATGGTGTAATGAATGCAGGATGGTGCTGCGTGCATTCAGTACAGAGCCAGCACCGCTGGCCACCCAGGCCTGGGGTGGCGAAAAGGTTATGTGGAGGCTGCAAGTTTTACACACACCCCTCCCCCCTCCCGTCAGCCCTGTCTCTGAAACGTGCTGCTGTCTACACAGGATGTGAAGTCCGTCCGACACCATTTTAGGCATCCAGATGGACGCAAATACCTCCTGAGACAGAAAAGTTTGGAGGAACTGGTCTCAGCCCTTTGGCTGAGCTGCCTAGAGATTTCCCCCCACCCCACCCCCCCTTTTAATACTGAAAGAGGAAGAGTTTAAAAGTCATGTGCATTTTCTTGCCTTTTGAAGCTGGGGTAAAAGTGTCTTGCTGGGGTGGTTTTCCTTTGCAGTAGAATCCACAGACTGGAGTGATTTCTCCCTGTTGTTAAAATCATTTGAGAAGGGTGTCTGTCGTAGGATGAAGAAGAACTAAGATGGTTAAAATGTCAGAGACCCTTTATAGAGTGTGCTTATGGACATAAAGGTGGCTCCTTCTCAGTCATCCTGGAGGAGTGGAGAGACAGATTGGACTGACTCATGAAATTACCAATATTTGACTGCTTTTGAGCTACAAAAAGGAATCTTCATATGGTCCAACATAATAGGCAGCTGGTTCTAAGAATCACCTAGGTTATATTTTCTCTCTCTCTTTTCACTTCCTCTCCAAATTGGGTGATTCTTCCCAAAGTAAAAGAGAACAGAACAAAACAGTAATCAAGAGTCACCTCTACCTTTCCAGTGGCATACATGCTGCAGAGGCTGGGGCAGCGGCTCGAAAGAGTTGGGAATGCATGCACACAGCACGTGGCCCGGACCAGGCCCGGACCCTTCTTCCAGTTCCTGTCCCCAGTATCTCCTGCTTTTCCTTTTCCTGCCTCTGATTCCGGAGGAGAGTCCTGGAAGGGACAGAAGGAAAGAACATAAGAGGGATGACAGAGTGGGCAAAAGACAACTGAGCAGCTGGCTTGTCCCCTGGCTTCCCCTAGAGGAAGCAGCTCCTGGACCAGCCTTGGGATTAGAGCATGTGCCTGTCCATGGGTTACCATAGTTAAACTCTAGGTGAGTCTCAACGCATATGACATTCATTCAATAAACCTAGGAGAGTCCAGCAAGAGAAGCCAGAAAGGAGATGATATCCCCTTGCATAGGGACAGTCCACTCTCTCCTGCCATCTGACTGTTCACTTGTCCCCCTGCTCACTAAGGTCATACAGAGTGAAGCACACAACCTCTTTCTGGGAAATCAGCCTCACCAAGCTCTTTGAGTTTCAAGAGCAGAGTCTAAAGTTGTTCTGTATAGTGCTTCTAGCCTCTTGCTTATCCAGAGAAAAGTCTGTTCCATGAACTCATCTAGTCCACCAACAGCGCTTGGCTGGTCCACAGAAATGCTGAGGCCCAGGTGCTGTCCCAAGGACCTGGGGCTCCAGTCAAAGATCTGGTACTATATCCACACAGCTCAAAGTGGTACAGGCCCTCCTCGCAGTGCAATGGATCGCTTTTATATGGCATTTCTAGTCATGGTCTTATAACTTTGACCAAATGATTGGGTGAGACTATGTAAACAGATGCTTGCGTCTACACCAAGGGGATTGAACAGCTTGCTAATAATGCAAATAAGGTGCATGGCACCCTTGTGAGGGTGGGACAATGCAAAAACGCTGTATGGAACCCTAACAAGGAAATTGGTAAGTGTAGCCACCCCATTAGGGTTAAACTGATCTTCCTAGAAATGGAAAGGCGGCACCTCACTATCCCCAAGAAGAGACATGAGTGGAATGTGCCCTTTGGGTCTGGAGTCCCTGCACTGAGAACCTCCTAGACCCAGGAGACCTGTAACACTGGAGATGGTAGAAGACAAGGAGCGCTGGCAGAGAAATGGTGACCGCAGAGCCAGGAGATGGTGCAGTGAGCTTCCTGGTCCAATGAAGCAAGGTAGTTAACGTGGGTAGGCGACCCGCAAAGCAAAAGAGCTGAGTGCCTTCAGGCAAGAGGCTCTGGTGGACAGAACTAAACTTGCCAACCATGGAGACAGAGCTGAGTACTACTGGGTCAAGGCTTACTGGCAGACGAAGGTGCTCCCAGGTACTTACTGGCAGAGCTAAAGAACTTTGTAACACTTGCCCAAGTCAAGCAGAAGCCTGGCAACCCAAGAGGCCAAGAGCCAGGGAGTGCCCTGCCTGTGGACACGGCCCAGAAGCTGTCTTGATTGAAGAACTGGAGATCCTGAGTCGTTCCCAATCCTGCGGAACCTGTTACTTCCTTACTAAACCCCATAAGTGTGAGTACAATCTGTGAGATCCTGGTGGCCACTGCAAGGAATGATGACACCCAGAAAAAAGCAGAGTGCTGTGGGGGGGAGGAAGGCTGGAGTCAGAACTGGAAAAAGGTTAGAGAGAGGAGGTACATCCACCCTCCACCTCAGAGGAATCAGCCTTAGGCTGCTGGTCTTGATTTTCTTCCTGAAAAGTTAGAGGAGGTCAGATGACCCACTCCTCCATCCTGGACAAGTACATCTAGCACAGTATTACTATTTTAAAACGAAGAAAGAAATGCATCAAACTCAATCAGAAAACCCACCAAAGTAGTGACGACGACAAGATGAAATCTCCTTGGCCTTTCCACTCCTGTGAGGTAAGTAGGGACATGTCAGAGCCTGCAGTCTAGCTTTAGGGCTCATGGAAACACTGACAAGCTGGGCCCCAAACAGGGGCCACACTGACCACGCTTCAAAATTCCAGCCAGCTATTTTGAGGGAAGGCAGCTGGGCCCCCACCACTGCCAGCTTATCTGAAGGCCAACCTGCTAAGAACACCACTCAGAATCCAGCCTAGTAAAGCCATCTAGAATGCTAGCCTTGTTATTTCAGACAAAGTCAACGTGGAGAAATTACATTTAATGTAATTCATTATGTGATTGCCTCTAAGTTGTCCCCTACCTATCTCCTAGGTGCTCTGGTAGCATAGTGGGTTACAAGTTGGGCTACTAACCACAGGTCAGAAGTTCAAATCTACCAGCTGCTTCATGGGAGAAAGATGAGGCTTTCTGCTTCATAAAGATTTACAGCCTTGGAAACCCTGTACAGGGTCATAATGAGTCAGAATCAACTCCATGGCACATCCCCACCACCAAGCTCCTAGAAAATATCAATAGGTACCTGTTACTCTGACTCCTAAAATCAAAGTTTTTCTAAATGATGAAAAAGAAATTAAGATTTTACAGTTCTATATAGAACTAATGGAATCTGGAGAGTTCAAGTTCTAGCCCAGACTCAATGCTGGCTTATGGACACAGTAGGCCAAGCGTGGCATGCTCTGACCTTGTGGTCCCAGGCTGTTGGGGCTTGCACAGAGGGGCAGGAACCCCATGAGGCCAATGCACTGATAACTGTCATGCCTCCAGTGTCCTCTAATCTGGCACGCCACTGCAGCCTCGCCTTCCGTTCTGGCTGGCTATATAAACTTCCCACATCCAGATTACACAACCCTAACAGGCTGAGAAAAGGGCTGTGGTTTTCTTCTTTCCCTGAGGCCTTGCCCAGAGCCTGACACAGTGAGCCGTCAATAAATGGTGAATGAATAAATGAATGCGGTAGGAAAACACACCCGGCATGGGAACACTTCCAATTCCTGAACTGGAAACACTCCACAGCGCAGCCCTGGGGCTGCTGAACTCCAGGCCCAGTGCCAACGAGGTAAGAGGGCTCAGGGCAGATGTGCCAGCAGAACGCAGGCTGGCCTGGGCAGCATGGAGCCTAGTGGTCCCCCATACCCATCCATCCTGCCTATTATAGCCAGGCCAGTTCCCCTAGCCTGCCCTGACCTCTGTCCTTCTCAGCCTCCCCTGATGGTCTGCACTCAGTCCAGGGGGACTCGTTCTTGCCCATCCATCCCTACTCTGGAGCCTCTGCTCAGAGAGTTCTCACCTCTCCTAAGCAGGGATGCCCCATTCTTACCTCTCCCCAGCTAGGAGACATGTTTGGGTATAGCACGCCTTCCCTGATGAGTCCACCCCAAAACAATTCCTCCCCTCTAACTTCATGGCCAGGGACTCCTGGTGTGGAGCTGTGGGTTAATGTGCTGGACTGCAAAGTTGGTTTGAACTGCAAGGTCGGCAGTTCAAGCTCACCAGCTGCTCCTTGGAAACCCTATACAGAGTTGCTATGGGTCAGAACTACTCGACGACACTTAACAACAACTCCATGGCCAGAGTCAACTTACCCCTTGAATGTATGCTTCCTGAGGCTGGCCAAGGCTGGTTTCTCTGCTCCTTGGGGTCAGGGAGCAGGCAAGAAGCAGTTTGTGCATGGTTAATAAACACCACGACTTACCGTGGAGAGATGTTGTTGTCGTTGTTAAATGGACTTGAGTTGGTTCCGACTTATGGCGACCCTGTATAGGTTTTTCCAGGAATGGCTGGTGGGCTTGAAATGCCGACCTTGCAGTTAGCCATCCAGCGCTGACCCTGCAGCAACACCCTGATGAACAGGAAGCTCTGTCCAGTCTTCTCTGTCTTTCCTAGGCCTTCATGCATTACAGACGGGCACCAGTGCCATGGCCCCCCAGCAGAGTCTTTCTGGCTCACTTGTGCTCAGTGCCCATCCCAACAGTTCAAGACCAGCAGGTCCTGATGGGAAAAGCAAAGGGTGTTTCTTGAGCGCCACAAGGCTAGTGTTGTTGTTAGGTGCTGTTGAGTCTATTTCAATCCATAGTGATCACACAGGACTGAGTAGAACTTCCCCAGGGTTTTCCAGGCTGTATAATCTTTATGTGGGAAAAGGTGGAGGAACGCGGTGGCTCTGTATGATAAGCACTGGACTGAGAACCTGGTTGGCGATTGGAGCCCATCAGATACTCCATAGGAGAAGATGAGGCTTTGTGCTCCCGCAAAGATTTACAACCCCACAAACCTTATACAGAGTCACTATGAGTGGGAACCGACTTGACGGCACCAACACCAACAAATCTTAACCGGCATGAATCTTCAGGTCTTTCTCCCTCACACATGCTGGATGGGGTCAAACCAGCAACCTTTTGGTTAGCAACCAACAGCAACCCCGACTTCGCAGCTGAGCAAAGTGACTCAGAGGGGAAGGGAGGTCACCTGCCTACAGGCTCCGAACCTTGGGCTCACAGACCCTTGAAGGCTAAAAGGGTGGCTGCAAACTCAAGTGCTCCCATTCATCCCTCCCCACTCCCTGGCACGCCACATGGGAGTCACTCCTCAAAGGCATTCACTATTCTCATCCTGGAACCAGAGGGCTGTGCTACCCAAAGGGGCAGACAGGAAGGAGGTCGAGCATCCTAAGGGCAAGGCAAGGCCGGACAGAGGCCATGAGTCCCTCCCTTCCCCTCCTCCAGCGAACTGTAAGAACTACCTCAGGTGACATAACATTGCAGGATGCAAAGGCCCAATCATACGTTATTGTTTTCAAGCCAACCTTATGGTCCAGTGCTTATGCTACAGTGCCACACCAGGACTCCAACCGTGAGCTGGACAGCCAAAACTCCTTGGTGCCCCGGGCAGGCTGGTAAGCTTCAGCCAAGCCCCTGATTTTACAGAACAGCAAGGTTATGATAACAATGCACTGAGGGGGCAAGTCCAGACTGCGGGGTATGGGGAGGGACATGCCTTACCTTCTCAGTACCTCACTGAGGTGGCCAGGGTCTTGCACCCCCTATTCGGAGTCTCCAGGTGTTGGGCCGGCCTAAAGCAGGAGACACTACAGAGCATCCTCTAGCAAGCCCACCAAGTTCATGCTGCTTGTCCAGAGCCTGGGCTGATACCTTGGGAGATAAGAACCTACGAGGGACTGAGACTGCCCCCTCCACATGGCTCTAGCCAACCAGGGTTCCAATCGCCAACCAGGTTCTCAGTCCACCACAAGGACACTGGGCTTGGAATAGAATGGCAGACCCTAAATTACCTCTGTCACTGTCTCTCAAGAGCTGGGCTTCCAAGGAGAGAGTCTGCAAAGTATTAGCACAGCACTGTTGTTGTTGTTGTTGTTGTTGCTGTTGTTAAGTGCCATCGAGTCAGTACCAACCCATAGCGACCTTATGCACAGCAGAACAAAACCCTGTCCAATCGATCCTGGGCCAACAGCATCGAACAGCACAAGAATAAACCCACTGCTACTGAGTCAATCCTGGCTCACAGCAGACAGCCTTATCTTTCTCCCACAGAGTTGGTGGTTTGAACCACCAACCTCATAGTCAGCAGCATACGAGTCCAATAAACAGTTTCTGTCACCACTGTCCTGACTTATTGTGATTTCCTGGCCACCCATTCCTCAGCTCCAAAAGTCTTGCAAGGAACTGTCTTTTCACAGACTCAAATTGGAAGGCCGTAATCCAGCCCAGTCACTGGGTTTCCGAGGTAGGAACTGGAGTTTCTAAGAGGGGAAGGGAGCTGGGAGCAAGTCAAGCCCTGCAGCCAGGTATCCACGGAGGTGTGAGGGGCTGCGCAAGACCTCTCTGACAGTAGGGTAGACCCAGAAAATCTCTCTGAAGACCAGAGGCTTGGCAGGGAGCCAGAGCAGGAAGCCTCTCCAAGAGTGTGCTGGCTCTGAGCCAGCACACAGCCCAGAAGATCCAGCTCACAGAGAACAGGGGAGGCTGTGGGGAGGAGGGGCAACCAGGAGAGGGGATCCATTGAGGAGCCCTCGGGCCACAGGAAACCTGCTGAGAGTGGGGTTGGCACAGAACTGTGAGGCATAGCTGGCAACCCCAGTCCTATGGATTCTGCACACCTGGGAGACTATGAAATCGCTGCCAGGACTGGGGTGAGGGAGAAGAGGATGTCCTACCTCCACGAGAACCCTCCTGTTGTCTACAACCATGTCCATAAAATTCCACTGGGCCATCATTAAACCTTCATCCAAAGATTCTGCTGCGAGTTACTGACTACGAACTTGCCTCTTCCAACCCTAAATGCAGAAAATAAGGTAAGAGCACCACTACAGATAAGAGCACCTACAGATAAGAGCACCACTTTGACCTCCAGGGATGGAGGTATGAGTCCATGGAGGGAAATGGACTCCCTGCCCGCCCCTCCAGCCTATCTTTTCTATGGCCCTTTGCACAAAGCCTACTGCGTTCTGACCTCTGGGGATGGACTGAGATGAGTGACTGAGCACCAGGGCCGTAAGAGGTCTTGATCCTCTAGCTTAGACCAGCGCTCCATGTGTAAGTTTCAATTTTATGGTAGCCATGCTAAAAAAAACCCCAGAAGCAGTGGAAATTCATTTTAGTAATATATATTATTGAACCCAATGTTACCATCTCAACATGTCACATAACCACATTTCATGAACTCAACAGCACCCATGGCTAGTGGTTACCTTATGGCTCTAGACTCGAGAACCTCCCCGGCTTTTTCAGATGAGGATGTGGAGGGAGCATGTGTCTAAGGAGAGGCACCAAGGTCAAAAGGGAAGCCCCAAACTCCACCCTGACAGCTGGCCCATCAGCCTCTAAACACATACTCACGGCATATGAAATATAATATTTGATGATAAATCAAAATCACATAAACCAACTGGAAACAATCAGAGACAAGATATGGCTATACTGTATTTGACATTGCAGGGCAAGGGAACAAAGAGCAGAAAGGAACAGGATAGAAGTTCTGGAAGACCCTCTGCACTGGGTCTTGATGAGGACCTGTTTATGCCATCTCTGATCAAGGCCACCTGGCTCCCACGGGTTATAAATACCCATGTTCCAGCCTGGGTCTGGTGAATTTTCTGCCACGTCTCCCCAGAGGAACGACCCACAAAAGCTCCTCTCTGCTTTAGAAGACAAGAACAAGTCGTGCATTTACCCAGTGCCCCTAGTCTCCTTACTCCGAGTCACCATGCCAACACACAGTCATAATTACTGAGGAACGCGTCAATAGTGGCAGCGTTGACAAAGACACTATATCAGGGCCTGTGAGCTCAGCAAGGTCAGGCTCCTCACCGTCCCCCAGCTTCCTGCCCACTTCCTTTATTCCACTCTGGAGCCATCTCTTTCCCTTCATTCTTTTTCTCCCACCCAGATGGTCTCTGATTATATTTTCTCTGCGGAGAAAGGCACCACAGCTCAGCGTATAAAACACTTTTATAGCAATTAGGAGACAGGTTCTCCTTTGAGTCCTGATTTTAACTTGTGGGAAAAGTCACTTAAGCATCCAGGCCTCAGTTAGTTTGTTGTGAATGGGGAGAATATTTTGGACACTGCTCATTCAGCACGTAGATGCCTGGCTTTAATTCTCCTTATAAGCTCAAAGGCTGATGGATGTCTGGTCAACTCGGGGGTCTTGTACATGATCAGCACCAGAGGGTCCCAGACACTGGGAAACAAAAGATGGCTCAGATCAGAGAGGGCATGGGCTCCCATACCCCCGAGAACTGCAGGATCTCAGGAAGGCAGTCAGGAGCAGCTGAATGGGAGGCTCTGCTAGATTATAAACCCATGAGTGGGATGGATAAGAATGATCAGGAGAAGTGACAAGCATCCGAGGCCCCTAGTGAGAAACAGGACATGTACCCATTTAAAATGAGAGGTCAGAAAAAGAAGGCAGACAGCCATCAACCGAGCCCTACACAAGAGCGCCCCAATTTCAGAACACCCAGTGCACCAACATCTGAACTTACAAAGGAGATAAATTGGAGGCTGATGATTAGCATCACAAAATGATTATTCCCTTTGTAAAAGGCTTCACTGCAGGACTGCTTTAAATAGTGCATTTAAACCATGATCTGATTTGCTAAATTCGATTTATACACATTTACTGCCTAAGCTGGCGTGCGGCTGTATTTACATGTCTTCCCCTGGCACTGGAGAAGGGAGAGGCCAGCCATTATTTGGGGCCTTTAATCCGTGTAGACAGTAACTAATCTGGGGAGCTGAACCCAGTTTTTCTTCCACAGCTGGGGCCTTAGCTACAAACCAGCTTCAGCTTCCCACCCAGCTTTGTCTGAGCTGGCTCTGGCTAAAGACAGCACTTGGGGTTTGGCCACGATCTGTTGGAATCTTTCCGGGTATAGGGGCACTTCACCAAAAAGCAGACCCATCTACCCACCCACCCAAGAATGGCACCTTTCTGGTACAAATTGCAGAGACTCTAGTCTGTGGCAGGATCAGGCCGTTTATTTAGCATCTACTGGTATCATGGCTACATATTGGAAGCCATGGAAATTTACTAATCTGAGCCACATTCTGAAACTTGTACTTAAACCACAGGACCCAGCCCTGGACAGGCACAGGAAGGCTGGCTCTCCATCCCAAAAGGACAAAAGAATGGGTCTACCAGGTCTAATGGCAACTGCACTCATGCAATCAGGAACCCTATGTTTTCTGACAGCAATCAATCAGTATGACAGGAAAGTTAGGGAAGTTGTATCACCACCAAAAGGGGAAACACACAACCCAATGTGTGCTGTTTGCCAAAAGAGAGAGGTCTGTTGAATTAATGAGCTCAGGAATTCAACATGAAAAATATGAAGCGCCCCCATCCAACTGGACCCTCATCTCCTCAGTTCCAAAGGCTTACCCTTTAAGAAAAGCCTGCTCACCGGTTTATTAAATACTTACAGACACCCACAATGGTATATCCCGCCCAATACTAGAAACTAAGTCAAAGAAAGGAATAAAACAGCATCCAGGTTCAAGAAACTCATAGCAGGGACTGGAGGAATCACTAGGCAACAGCCAAACCCTGTCCATGTTGAGAAGCCACCAAAGCTTGGGAAATGGATGCTGCCCTCTTTGTGACTCACCAGCATCAGGCTACCTTGCTCTACTAGCTTACTTTTTGACCTTAGGGAAAACCACTTAACCACTCTGAGCCTGGTTCTTCATCTGCGACATGAAGCAGCTGACCTACATACATAATCACCAGTTCTAAATTATCTATAAATCTTAGGTAGGGAAAATCCTCATCCCTCCAAACTTCTGAGCAGCTTCCTTTTTTTGAAAAAGGTTTATAAACCATCATGTTTTCTTCTTTTGTCTTGGCTGCCAGGAAGCTCAGAACCACCACAATCAAGGCTCTATTTTAGGTCAGGGCTTTCCTATATGAGTGGGGGTGGGAGGTAAACAGGGGCTTGAATTCCTGAGAGGCTTGACCACAGATGCCTGGAGTTAGGAACACAGGCTTTGAGTCTCCTAGTCAAAGTCACAAAGAGGAAAGCATCACTGGACCTGTCAGTGGACAGTCAGAATGCAGGCATGTGATCACTTAGCACCCAGCCTTGCACCTAGCAGGCACTCATAGGACACAAATTAGTATAACTGGAGTTTCTAGGTTAGTCTGTTCAAACCAACATTTGTGGGACCCGCCTTTAGGCAACATTGGGTCAACTTGGACACTTAGAACAGTGATTGCACTGAAATTATTCACCGGGGTAGAAAGGGGGCAAGGGAAGTAGAAACGCTGACCCTTTGGCCTGTTCTCAGTCCCAACACCACCAACCACGAAGGGCCCTCGGCTCCCTGGCCAGCAACTAACCTTTGACTTGGGCCCACACGCCTACTGGGATGCTGGGCTACTTCTGTCAGCTCCGGCCTCGGCCTCGGGCTTTTAAGCGCTGCGTTAAGCCACGCGCCCAACATTCCTCCAAAATAAAGAGCTAGTTAAGCGCCTGAGGGTCAGACTCCAAATAACATCATTGTTCAACTCGGGCTGGCCGCTGCTCTGGGTGGACGCACCCGCCGGGGCTCCTGGCCAGTCCCCCGGGCCGCGGGGAAGACCGTCTCTTCCCTGGTCGGGTGCGGGCGCCCGAGTGGGACCGCTCGGGACACACTCCCCTTTCTCCCCAGAACTGGCGACGCAACGGCGGCCAGGAACGCCGCGACGGAGGGTCCCGAATGCGGGCAAGAGCCTGCCTGGGACGAGTGGCAACCGAGACCATGCCAGACCGAGCGTCCCGAGGCGCGTTCGGCTCCCGTGGGCCGCGTGGCGGGGCCTTGCTGCGCCGGGACCTACCTCGGCCCCACGCAGCCATCTTGCCGCTACGCCGCAGCCCTCTCAAAATGGCCTCCAGGCCCAGCCACCCGCCTCCCGAGCCTTGGCACCCCGAGAAGGGAGGTGGCGCGGAGCTGAAGCGCCCTTCCCTCCTCCCTCCGCCAGTCCCGCGCGCCGGGCGACCTCGGGCCTGCAGCAAGCAGGGCGGCCTGGGCGGCGAGAACTGACTCCGAAGTCCGTGGGCCCAGGCTCTGCTGTCGACGGTGGGAAAGCTTCCAAAGTATTCTTTCCTAACGTCGGCTGGCGCCCCCAGGCGGACCCCAGCCCCGAGCTCCTCGGAAAAGAGCCCGCTCCAGGGCACGGAGGGGAAAGCTGCGTCAGTCCTCGGTGGCGCGGTAAGGCAGGGCCGCGGGGCCTGGCCATCGTGCGCCTTTGGTTCCGCGGAACGCCAGTGGAGCGAGCCAGGCAGGCCAACACGCAAACTCGGAGGCCGGAACTAGCAGAGCCGCCATTTACTTGGCACCTACGGCGTGCTGTAAACCGTGCTCTGCGCCAGCTCTGCCAAACGATTTTCTAAAGCATAATAAGTCAGTAGGTGTATTGTTAACCCCGTTCCACAGATTGGGGGTGGAAATGGCATTGTCTCTAGACCTTGGGAAGGAAGAGGGGTAGCTCTTCTGGCGATCTAGGTGAAAACCACCGTTCTACCGAAATGATTTTGTGACCTCCCATCCTTCGAGCTGCAGGCCCGCTCTTTGAGACATCTCAGGACAGAGTTGGGGTGCAGAGGGCCAGCTTCTCCAACACTTGGGCTCTGGCCACTCACCTCTCCTCCGGCGCGTCCTCCTATGAGCCGGTGCCCACAGCGAATTAGCGTCCCTTGATGAGGACCCTGAGTGCTGGCTGAGACCCGCGCCCAGGAGGAAGGCGCCTGCAGGGGAGTCAAAGAGAGCGGAGACGTCAGGTGCCCCCCACGCCCATCTGGAAGCACGCCTGGATCCAGACGACGATGGCCCAGTGTCCCCGCACCGGTGGGGCCCGAGCACACTGGATCAGGGGTGGGTGAGGCGACACGTGCCCTGCAGGTCCTGACCACATCGGGGCAGAAGGAACTGGGCCTTCTCGGGGCGCGCCTAGGACAAAGGAGGGAAAGCGTGTAGGTGCTGGCTGGGGAGGAAGGCGGGGTTTCTGATCCAGCCAACTCCTTCATAGTCACCGCGACAGGTGTCCAGTCCAGCAAGGGTGTCGCTAAGGGCACCCCACAAGACGCTGGTGTTTTGGCTCACCCAACCGAGCGACCCTTCTCTCTCTCTCACAGCTTATTTCCCCGAAATAGAGAACTCCAAAGTGGGGCACCTGGACGAGCGTGCGACCCAACGCATCGCTGGGGACGACAGTCCTGGGGACGACCTTGGTTCCACTCAACAGCCCCACTCCAGAGTCCTGAGACTCGGAAATAGCCGGAGGTGAGACCCTAGGCAGTTTCCAGAAGCACCAACCGTTAGAAATCTCCTGGCGGCGCCCTCGCAGCTCCGGCCGGGTCTTCTTGGAGGCGCAAATCAGTGGAGCACTGCACCCTTCAAGTCTCAAAAAATACAAGTTCCCAACTTCAGGCCAGGCCAAGCTCAGAACTTCCCACCCTTTTGTCCACTTCCTCCACCTCCCGCCCGGGACTCTCTTTGCGGGGACCCAGGGTCGCCCATCCCGGGGTGGTAGGTGGTGGGGAGAGGAGGTGGGAGCAGGCTTGGCCTGGCACAATAAGGCAGCGTCAGTAAGGCAGTCAGTCTGGGCATCTTCGGAGACTTTCACTGCCTCCAGTCAGTGGAGTTTTGAACTTCAGGTCCCCACATTCATGTGAGCCCTGCACTTTATTTCTATATTGTACTTAGTTCTCACATAAGATGTGTGGGTACTATTGCCCCCATTTTACAGAGGGGAAAACAAGCTCAGAGAGGTGAGGTGACAAGGATACACCGAGTTGTAAAGGTCAAAGCAAGTGACGGAACCCTGCTGCACCGGCAGCCCGGACTCCCACTTGCTGCCTTTCTGGAATTTGGATCTCTAGTTTGTTAACCCCAGCCAAGATAGTCCAGGGTCTGTCACCCTAGTGTTTCAAATCAGAATCCATCCGGCACCCCTTGGTACAGAAGTGTTCATAGAGGGAAACCACCTCTGCTCTCCTGGTGCTTGCTATGGGGCAGGGTGGGAGTGGGGTGGTTCCTGTAGTCCTTGGAGCACACCAGAGGCATTTTCATTGCCCCTTAGCCCAGGCTCAGGGCCTTGGGGGAACCTGGAGAAGCCTCACCTGGGCTGATAATCCACTTGTGGTTTCAAAAATCCAAGTCCACACAGACATAGAAGCCGGTGATGTATATCATTACCCGGTTAATTCAAGCAGGAGGGAGTGTGATGCAAGGGCAGGTGGGCTGACTATTTTTACACACAACCCCAATGGAGACCTGAGCTAAAAAGAGGAGCAGTGCAAGGATGTGCCCCTACAAGGCGCATTTCATCCCAACTGATACTCAGGCAGTGGGCCACAACCTCCCAACTCCAGGCTTTTTCTTTAAATGACATTGTTGTTGTTAAGTGCTGTCCAGTCGATTCCAACTCACAGCCAGCGACCCCTGTACAGGGTTTATGAGGAGCAGCTGGTAGGTTTGAACTGTTGACACTGTGGTTCCAACTGACCTTGAGGTCCAGTGCTTATCCTACCAGCAGTCCCAAATGACATTTACATGACACTAATATTTATTTTTCTTTCTTTCTCTCTTTTTTATTTTTTTCAATAAAACCTCTGTAAGAGACAACCTCCATTAAAAAAAAAAAAAATGTATGACCTGAAGTAAATGAAATGAAAACAAACAAACAAAAAAGCTTCCGGCTTTTTCTGGAAACAAGGGAGAACCCCCAGGCAAAGCTGGTACCTGTGGGTGGAGACTGGGAAGCACCAAGGATGGGGAAATAGAGGGGCCAAGAGTCTGAAGCCACACTCTCCAAAGGCTAGAGGAGAAAGGTCCCTTTCCAAATAGACCCAAGTTGAAGGTCTAAGACCAGCCTCTACTGATAAAGTGGCCAAGGTGCTCAAACCCACTTCCAACCTGCAATTCTTCGTCTCCACTCCAACAGAAGAGAGAAGGCCTGAGAAATGCCACTCTGTGTAGTACCATGAGACACAAAGAATGGGGGTTTGACCAGAGACAAAAGTAAGCAGCTCCACTCATGGCACACACACACATACACCCCAATTCATGGGGAGGGGGGGACAAAAACTAGGTTGCAAGGGGGATGGGGCTTGCGGCTGACCAGTGAGGGGCTCCAGTGCCTGCGCAGATGGAAGCTGAAAGGAAGTTCTAATTAGCACAAAGCCTTCACCTTCCATTAATAGCTCACTGCCGGCTCCTGGAGGCCGATGAAGGCAGCTAAGTTGTAATGTGTGAGGCTCACCTGTCTCGGGCTCATTAACTGAGCTCGGGTGAGAACAGGGCTCTCCTGGCTGAAGACCAGCCCAAACCACCCCCTCACCCCCAATCTAATTACAGGTCTGGCTTCTGGACCCATCTGGAGAGAAAGTATCCTGTCCTGCTGTAAATACACACATCTCCCAGATACAGGCTTAGCCTGGGTCAAAAACAGTGTTCCCTCCAGATTTGAATAAATTCATACCCCCCCAAAAAAAGTTGTAGCATACATTCCATTTATATGGAATTCTAGATAAGTAATATATATATATATATATACACATGGGAGGGGAAACAGGGATTGACTACAAAGAGTCAGGAGGGAACTTTCTGGAATGAGGGAAACACAGTATATCTTGATTTGGGTATTGGCTACAGGGGTGCAATTGCATTTGTCTGAAATATAACTACACCTATGATCTATTCGTAATGTAAATTACACCTCTATTAATATATTATGCTTGTGTGTATGAATTATCCCTCTAGTTACATCCATGTGTATGTGTAGCACACACATATACATACAAAGGTCTCGGCTCCTGACTGATTTCTCCCTAGCCTGTGATCTTGAGGATGTGAAGGTTCACACCCTTTTCAAGGGTCACTGTGGAGAAAGGGTTCAGAGCAGATGGGGGAAATGGGCCTGTAGCACACGGCCTTGGCTGGCCCGGTGGGGAGAGGGGCTGTTTGAATTGAATCAATTAGTTGCAGAAAACTTCAGAAAAGAAGTAAGGCCCTTCATAAAAACAAAGCCCACTTCTTAATCCCCAAAGGCACCCCTCTCCCCCATTCCCATGGCTATTCCTCAGTAAACAAAGAAATCCCTCCTTCCACATCCACACCTCAATATTCATTATGAGCTGATGTTCTGGGACTGCATTCCAGCCTCCCCGAGTGCCCTAATGACTAGAGACCCAAGGGCAGATGACAGAGGACTTCACTTCCTTCTCTCCATATCTCATCTCCTCTTCCCAGGACAGTCGGTGCTTTCTTCCCTTCCCTCTCTCGCTCTCTTCTTCATATTGGTGAAAAAGTAAACTCAAAGCAAGCAAATCAAGGCAAAGACATCACTAACTCTACTTTGTTCATTTATTTTGACAAGTGCAGTTTAATTTTAATTATTTATGATAATACTTCATAGTAGACGAGTAAATGTGCCGGGGTATATTTGGTAACATTAATGAAGTATGCTTAATAGGAGCCTTCACTCCAGCCCCCCCGCCTGGAGAGCTGCCTGCTGGAGAAGAGGGGTGAGACCACTGGTCTGTGGTAGGGTTTGCAATTTTGGTGGGGGTGGGGGACATAATGGGTTTGAGGATTAGCGAAGGGAAAATTAACCCAATTCCAGAGAAGAGGCAAATACGAAAACCCATAATTGTGTGTCGATGTGGAATGTGTGTATTTAAACACCAAGCAAGCACACTTTGTGATAAGGAGACCCAGGCATGCACTAGGGGCCACTTGCATATTTACACATGAATCTCAAATATGCAAATCATCAGAGACCCAAAGAAATTAGGCTCTGGGCAATTAAAAATTAAAATAAAAATGGAAAATGTGATACTCAGAGTTCTGTATCTCCTCAAAGTACCTGTCTCCTACTTACATATGCCTCCAGTGGGCAAACATGGTGAAAAATTTGGAAGATTAAAAAAAAAAAAAAAAAAGGTAGGAGATTTATTTAGCTGATGATTACATAAGAATGCTCCCTTCAACACACAATGAACCATGTAGAACAGGTCTAGTCATTTTCAATGGGGCTGCTTTTTGTAGCACCCTTTACCTTCTTTACCATGTAAGTGTCTGATTTGGTATATAAACCATATACAAACAAGAATGGGTATATTATATGTACAAACATGCAATCATTTGGTCCGTACACTAGGCATTTGATACCCTCAAAATTAACATTATCTATAATAGAGGTGGGGAACATCTGGCCCTCAAAATCATTTGGTCTGACCCTTCCTAGACAACCCCATGCAGTTCCAGCCAATTGCATCGTAGTTAACTAAATGTTTGACCAAATATAGCAGGCTAATTTTGAAGTTGATGATGTTGTATGACCCTCGAATAATGTTATAAATTTTAGCAGAAAAAAAGCTTCTCCACCCCTGATCTATAATAATGACACCTTCCAATCATCAGCATTTTTTTTTTTTTTTTTTTTGTAATTTAAGCACTGCTAAGTTTACTCTCTCTCCCCTCTCTGCCTTGTCTGCCTGCCCACACTCAGGGATGTTTAGGACATTTCAAGAGACAGAAGTAGGTGGTCTTGGAGCCAGTCATACTATGTTTCAGAACAGAGTCTAAGATTCTCCCGGAGTCTAAAAGCCCAGGTTTGGTCCAGCTCCCGAGGCAAGAACTATTCGTTTGGCCATTGGTGGTTTCTTCTGGCAGATAGTGGGAGTGGGGAAAAGTGAGGCCTCTCCAAAAGTGAGGCTGTGGTTGCACCACAGCCTCAGAGGAAGGGGACCCTTTCCTGACACAACCACATGTGTAACAGGCCTGCTCAAGTCCCTAAACACAGGTTCACACAGAGAGGCTTCCCCACAACAACCTACCCTTCAAGCAGAAGGACATGCTGACCACTAGTGCAGGGTCATGGGCTGGAGGCACCTGGCTCCCAGCTTTATTGCCTGGCCCCAAGCTCCTCCTCGAACCCTTCTTCTTAAAACTATGGCTTGACTCTGGCGTGGGAAAGGCGGTTTGGAGCTTTTCACAAATCCGGTATCCCCTTGAACCAAAACCAATTAGCCTGGTCCAAGGTCCTGTCATTGAGGCCCTGGCCCTCTTTTCAAACCCCTGCGGCTCAATTGCGGTGAGGGGCCAGCCAGTGAATGCCGTACCCACTTAAAGTGGTGCTTAAGCCGGACCAGGCTGGAAGGAAGGAGCAACGCAGCGGCCCATTCTCAGAGCCAATGACCAAGGTTTTGTTCCAGACACAGCTCCCACCCTGGCTCTATTTTTTTTTTTTTTTTTAATTCTTCCCTCCTCTCCAGTTCCCAGCTGTCTGGAGGAGAGATGAAAAGCTGGCTCTAGGAAGCCAGGAGATTCCCGAATTTGGCTGCTCTGGACAGAAAGGACATCCCTAGGTTCTTACTTCCCCCAAAGAGGAAGGACCTGTAGCATGACTAGAGCACTCAGTGGGAACTCAGATGCTTTCCAGGACAAGCCTGAACACCAACCCATCTATGGATATGAAAACTAAGACAGAGAAGGGATGTGACTTGCCCAAGATGACAGCACTTAGAGAGTGAGGCAATTTGGAGTAAACCTCCTAAGTACCCCCTGCCAGAGGATAGTTGAGACAGAAGAGGGTGAAAATCTTTGGACGAAGGTATGGAAGGGGTGCTAATACAGACTCTGTTTGCCTCCAAGATGAGAAGAGGAACACCCAGAGGGTTGGAAAATTGAAGAAGGAGCAGAGCCAAGGAAGCCCAGTTCCCCAAGAAGGTCCTGCGCACACCATCCATTTGCCTCCCAGCCTCACCTAGCTGAACAGAATAGGGTGGGAATTATGATAAGGTGCCACAGCATCCCTCCAACACCCCCTCCATCTTCCCTCCCCTTTACACAAGGTCCGGGATAAGTGAAGACTCAGCCCCGGCCCCAGGCCGTCGCCATGGTGACGCACATCCCACCCTAGGCCAGAGCTGATTCGTCACTCTATCCGGGCTGGCTGACAGAATAGGGACTAAAGTCAAGGTGGGATGGGGAACGCAGACACCCCGCCTTACACTCGCACTAAAGATGCCAAGGAGGAAAAGGAGGCTTTAAAATGGCGCCGCGGCCTCCAAAGGGCCGCGTGCGGTGGGTTCACACATTGGGTTGGAAAAATCCCGGCGGTTTTCTGGACCACGCCGCCTCGACTGGGTCCTGGAGGTCGCATACATTCCGCTGGGTCAGCCCCGGGACTCCAGGCCTCCCTGCCTATCCCCTTTTTGGGAACACAGAGCCCATGTGTGCTCCCGGCCGCCACACGCCACATGCCAGCTGATATGGTTCGGGCCCAGCGAGCGCAGGGCGGCGGATTAGCGGTGCGCCCAGGGCGCAGGGCGGGCACATTTCGGGGTGTGAGGGCGGGGCAGGGCGGCGCCTCTAATCCCGGCGCTGCGTGTGGGAGCGGCCGGATCAGGGAATTAGCGCTGTAACTTCGGATTAGTAACGCTCGCTAAATGAGCCCCTAATTCCGACCCTTCATGCTTTTCAGCGTCGCTGCTGGGCCCTGAGAGGCCTCCTGTCCTCCCTCCCTCCGCGTTCTGGTCCCATGTCTCAGGAGGTCCAACTGCAGCCGAAGCAAGTTCCCTCCCCAGCCTAGATCAAGTCGCGCCGAAGCCCGATTGTCAACAGCTCCCATTGAGGCCAACTCTTCATTCATTCGGACAGAGGCCTACTTGGTCTTATAGTCGTGCAGGTTTGGCGTCTAGGGACCAGGCAGAAGAAAGCCCTGGGTGCGTCTCCCAGCAAGGTGGCTGCCCTGAGTCCTTCCCCCAATGGCTTGCTGTGCAACCTTTAGCAAATCCTAGTCCTTTCTGAGGTCGATATTTCTAGATGTAAAACGAAATGGGTTTGATGAGGACCATCTTTGAGATAGATCCCAACCAATTCTGGCTTCCAGGTTGCAGCTTCAGCTGTAACCCAAGCTCTCCTAAGCCTTTTTGGGTAGGCGTTTATCAATCAAAATATATCTTGATTGCATGTTTGATCAATTTTGGATAGGTAGGAAAGAGTAACACAAACTGGAGGCAAAGGTGAAGCCCAAATTTGGGGAGCTAAGTGACCAGAGGAAGCTTGGAAGAAGGAAGAGAAAATCCTCTCTGGGACACAGAACGAAAGGTTAAAACATAGAAAAGGCTGAGCCCAGGCCCAACAGCCTTATCCAGGCTTCGGAAAGCCAGGAGAAGGGTTGATGGGATGTGAGGCACCAATTTTGAGTCTGTATCTTGTGATTGGAAACATCCAGAAAGGGTTCGGGCACTGCCTTGATAGGGGTTTGGGGGAAGGGTTATTGTGAGCCCAGGAGGTGTGCCATTCATACTCAGGGGCAGAAATCTGGAGGACAAGATGGCCTTTCCCCATGGGTTATCTCTAGGGGGTATGGGGTGGGGTCTTGGAGATTAGGATACCCCTCCTCCACCCACCACAGCCCTGCCTTTTCCACTACCTGACAAGACAGCTTTGCATTAACAGGATTTTCATACAAAGAGGAAAGAAAACTGCTCTCACCCACGCAAGTTCTTTCTTCATCACACCCCCAGCCCAGGATTCAAGCAGTACAGATGACCGGTGAGGACCCTGGTGTTAAAAGCAACAACGAACCAACAACAAAACCTTTGCTTGAACTGTGTGGCTACAACTGTAAAACTGCCAAGCAGCCCTTGCAAGATAGCAAAAGGATGGTGGTGGTGGGCGGGGAAGAGTGAACGCCCCAGGCTCAGTGCCTGCCCACCACCTGGGTTAAGCGCCTGGCAGGGCCTGGACCTTTAGGAAGTAGGGCTGGGAGAGAGTGTTGGGTGAGCGAGCAGGACTGGAAGATACTCTGATTTCCTTCTGAAATTAGGTCACGGTCAACTCATAGGCTCCCAGGGTCTGGGGATGCTTCCCCTGACCTCGAATATACTTGAACACACATTCATCACCCTTTACCTCTTGCCAGGAAAAACGGAGAGCAGTCTTGAAAATTGGGGGTGGCACACGTAGGAGTCACAAAGCCCTTCTACCCAGTAATTCTCTGTGGAGAGGGCTGAGGATAGAGCCAAGAGGGAAGCCGACTCCCCCCCTCCCCGCTTTATCTCTCTTTTTTTTCTTTTAGTTTTATTTTCATTTCAATAGACATTACATTCCTGTGCTTCAGAATTCAAAAGGCTGCATAGTGAAATGTTTCCCTCTACCATCAACTTCTCCGGAGGTTGTACTGCTGATTTTTTGCCTTGTACACATATAACCTATTTTCTAAATAATTTCTAAATCAGAAGAAGAAGAAAAAGGCTTGAAGGAATGAAAATGGGAAAAGAAGAGGGCAAGGTTTCTATTATTACAAAGAGACTGGGCAGGTTCTGAGTAGAGGCAGGGAGAAGCTGGGCCTTTTAAATAATAGACAAGAGTGGGTTAAGATGAGAGTAAGCCACTCAGCTCAGTGTCTCTGAGCTGTGTGACCCTGGTAGAGTCACTTCAGGGCACCAGATAACCAGTGTAAAAGGAAAAAGGGATGGGGGGGGTGAGGTCTGAGTGATGACTCCAGTCCCTTTCAGTTGATCAATCAGAGCATTCACACACCTAGAGAGCTTCTTCTCCTCCTGCACACTGCCTCCCTCCCCTACCCTCCCTGGCTACTCATCTATCAGGGGTAGAACACACATGTGCCTCTTTCCTTCCCTACAGACAGGCAGGGTTCTGGGCTGGGTCTAACAACCATGCTAGGAGCCCAGGTAGTTCCCCAAGCAGTAAAAGTCCCGAGCTTCTGAATCAGTCCATGTTGGGGTCGAGGGTCGGAAAGAGGCAGATGAGGACCTCAATCAGGACCCCAGCGCTGTGTTAGCCCTGGACCCCATACACGAGGCAGAAGTGCACCCCAATTCCTGGATGAAGGAAAAGGGAGTTGGAACCTGAGTGGCCGGGTGTGCTGCACTGGGTTGCCATGGGAACGGAATGCAGATTTTTTTCCCCCAATTGCTTTTTTATTTGCTAGACATTGTAATACATCTTATGTTGCGACTTCGCGGGGAGGGGAGGAGGGGGCCTTGGAGAGCCAGTCTACACCTTAGCCACTCGGGGAAGTTGAGGAGGCGCGGGCGCAGGCGGGAGCGACCGAGTTATGGCCCGCGCAGAGGCAGCCTGGGGTCGGCTCAGTGCCCCGCCCGCTGGCTCTTGGTTTGTATGCAGGGCAGGCCCGACCCGTCGGGGAGGGAGGCCCCCCGCCCCGGCCCCTCGCCATTGAACACACTCCCCGCCAGTTCTGCTCCGCTTCACGCTGCACACAGACCCCCCAACCGCACACAAAGGCAGCTGCCAGAGCCCGTGAAAAGTGATCAAATTATCAAGAACTTGACCTCACCGAGGGGCGAAGCTCCGGCAACCCCCCAGCCGTATGCTAATGGCGCTCAGGGACTGACTCGTCGAATAATTCGATAAAGGCCGCATTGTTAGCAGCGGGGCAACCCCCTACCCACCCCTCCATTCCCCCACCCCCACCCCCTACTGGCCGCTGTCTCTCTCCCATCGCATTTGCATCCCAAAATCCCCGTCCGCAGCTCCGAGAGTGGATTGTTCCAGTCTGATTTATGGGGTGAAGCGAAGGCTGGCGCCTTCCCCGCCAGCGACCCCTCTGCAACCTCCACCCCCTCCTTCCTCCCAACCCGCTACACTTTGGGGTTCCTGCTCCCGCACTGGAGATGGGGGGAGGCAAGGAAAGAGGATGGGCTGGCAGGAGGGAGTGGGGAACTGGCAAGTTCATTCAGGGTAAGGAAAGTGATCAGTTAGAGCGCTGAGTTCAGATACCTGGTCCGGGCGCGGCCGCTCCGCGGGGCTGAGTCTGCTGGGCCAGTGCTGGCCTCCTGGGCTCCTCTGGCTCGTGTGGGCCGGGGCGGCCGGCGGGGCGGGAGCTCGCATGCAGAAGTTGTGAGAGTCATTTCTACTTTCGGTTATCTAGCTTTATGACGGCTCTATGGCACTCATACAGCTAGATAACCAAAGAGAGAAACGGGCCTCCCTTCGCCACCGCCACGCCGTGAGCCCCAGGTGCCGCTACCCGCCGGGCGCCGGGGGCCGGAGTGGGAGCCGCCCTCGGAGCTCCGAGCGCACGCGGAGAGCCGGAGGGGACCGACAGACACACAAACACATTGACTCCCACACCGAAGCCGGCAACCCCAGCCCAGTTGTTGCCTCCCTTCCTCGCCCGCCGGGCACCTTCCCTCCCGGCTCCCCGCTATGTGCGTCCGGGCGCCGGCGCCCGCAGTCCGCTCAGACGGCGGCCCAGGGCGCACTGAGGGCACCCGAGCTGTGCGCTCCAGCAACCACGGGCGCCCGGACCGCCCCCAGCGTTCTGGACTGCCAGCCCTCTACTCTCAGGCTAATCGCCCCGCGGGGAAGTGACGTCAGTCCAGGGATCGCCCAATCATAGACTCTCATTCAAATCCCAGCCCCCTTCCCGCGCTCCACACCACCTAGTCTTACAATGGCCTCGGCATTCACGGCTTCCCAGCCTGGAGGCAGAAGAGCACCCCCTCCGCCCTCAGAAGCTTTACGGGTTGAGCGCCTAGGTGCGCACCGTCTGGTCTTTCTCCAAAACCCTTCTGCCTTTCCTCAAATCCCAGAGAGGCAGGCATCACAGACCATCAGAAATAGGGAGCCAAGTGTACTCGGGTAAAGAGGTTTGAGGAGACGTGACGTGGAGCATGTTGAAGGTCTCTCTAGGGCCGCTTGAAAGCAGGAGCCCTTTTAGTTTTAACTCCCCTCCTTCTCTCCCCATGCCCTGGACTACTTCAGTAGGCACCTCCGGTTCACCCAAGCTAGCAGACTGGGGGTGGGGGATTGCTCGAGATTTGGTGTGTAAAGTAGCACAAGGTCTAACCCACAGGGCCAAATGCGCAAAGATTCCAAGGCATGCAACACGCAGGCCAGGCCCTAGACCTCAGTATCAGGCCACAGGATCCCTCCCTCGTCCTTCACCGTTTCTAGACAGCCAGGAGAGTACAAACAGTCATGTCCGGTGTCTTTGGAAATGGTTAGGTGTTCCACCGACAAATGAAAACGCAGAACCACACTTCAGACCTCCTCCTCCAGCTCTCAGCACATACTTGGCCCATTTTCCAAGTGATTACTGCTAGAGAAAGGTACACCCCCAAATTAATCTTGAAAATACAAGTGCTTCCATTGCAGCTTTCTAGAGGTGAGTGATCAGTATCACCCCTACTAGCTCACCCCAGCCTTGACACCTCTTCCTTGCTGCTGTAGAAACCCTCTAGCCTTGGACCCTAGGATTCACATCCACCTTTTGTCATCCCTGAGAGCATAAATAAATAAATAAATAAATAAATAAATAAATAAAATAAGAAAATGCATTATTTCCCCTGGCATCACCTCCCCTCCCCTCCCCTCCCCCCCCACACACAAAAAAAGCACACACACAAAAAACAAACCTTAAGGCTGAAAGCTAAGAAGAGATTGGGGTGGACTAGCAGCTGGATTCCCACTTCCAGTGGTCAATATTCAGGCTTTCTCCATCAAAAGACATGGATTCAGGGGGCAGAGCAAAGCTCCGTTGGGTTGTGTGTGTGTGTGTTGGGGGGGTTCTATTTAATGGGGCTGGGACACTTAGTGGCTTGAGACCAAGCAAAACCTCCTCAGGATGAGTTCCAAAGAAGAATCAGAAAATGAGTG